CAAGGCCTTCCATCTTGTGTCACAGTTGCTGTTGAGTAATATTGTGTAGTACGAAACGTAGAACTTGATACTTTGAGCGTTGACAACTGGATATAGAATTGCCGAATTGCCGCACCATCAGTGTAGGAGAGGCAAAACATTTTGCCTCTCCTAAAATGACTGTTGAAATGATTTTTTTCTCTTTTTAACCGACTTCAAAAATAGGAGGAGGTTCTCAATTCGACCGTATATATGCTTTTTTTGTAAGTCGTAGTCTATGTACGGTAGTGGCGTTTCAGCATTCTTGCGGTTGATAATTATGACGATGATGATAATGACGTGTACGAAAGTTGGGTTTAGCGAACTTTGTCTCCAATAACCTTGATTGCAAGTGAAGTGAACCTTCTCCACACTGTATTTACACAATTGCATACATTAATGATAATTTCCTTGGGTGCAATAACAGTTTTATTATTTTTGAACTTAACCCAGTACCTTTTAACTTACAAACACTGCAGCGTACCTACTTGTGATGTAGATTAAGGTCATGCCGTGAGGGTCATTGGAATGTGGCTTTTATGACCCATACTGTCGTCGATATTTGTCCATCTGTTACCACATTTCTATGATATTGCCAGAAATAACATCTTCCGTTAGATACCAGTACATTTGGAAATAGCAACAATATGGTTTATTGGATAAGAGTCTTTAAAATAAAGATGGAAGCCATAATGCTATCCGGGCTAATCTGAACTTATCGAATAAGTACACTTTGTAATTCGGTACTAAAACAGGATTACACCAAGTACCGCAAAATATGTTACGAATTTTGACATTTACGTAATGAATTCACAACACGAAGCTTAGATATTGTAAAATCTTCCGAAACTTTACTTATTATTTTATTGAATACCGTCCAAATCCCATTATTATTATTTTTCCTTTGGTTATATTTTTTGAGTATTCAACTCAATATTACTTGAATTGGACGATCATTATCCTAAGAAGCAGTTACGCGTATTTGCTCTTTAGATTATACTCCACACGTAGGATGCTTATTTCCTCAACGTAATTTGTTATACACGCAAACTTTGTGCTGTGTCATCTAGTGCGTCTAACTAAAGCATTGATCAGAAACTTCTATGTGATCATTGAGTTACTTATTAACATTTTTTGTCGTCAGAACTGGTTTGGATTGTCATCATTATCATTCACAACTCGATATAATGCTTGCTTAATTCTTGTCTTGTGCCTAACTGGTTTTGGTTTCGTAATTTTTATCATTTTTGTATGTTCTGTTACTATCTTCGTGATGGGTTTTAATTGTGAACTAATCTGTTTTGCGGTTTCGACTGTATTCTTCATCTTAATGCTCATAGTTCGGCATTATGTAACTTCCGTCTTCCGCGGACAGAAAATACTATTTTGTTAAAAATAAACAAAACTTCAAGAGAAGTACTCCTGCTCATTCTAACTACATGTATTAGAATTAAAAATCACGAAATCTTGTTCACAATGTCAGTGCTACGAATCAACGCGTAACAGCGTGCCTTGGCTTCACATCACACGAACTGATTTTAATTTCAATCGAATCAGTGAGCGTGACCTTTGCCTCCTATTTATTTTTTTATTATACGAGAAGGTAAAAAATACTTGAGAATTAAAAAATATTTGTGCACTATCTAAGTATAACATGGGATCCGTGAAAAGTTTTATGATAGAAGTGATGTTCTAGTGCACTTTCATGTTTTTGATGTTGTTCCAGTAAAGAACATACAAGTAGGGTTCTATTCTTGTCCTTCTTTTATTTTCTAGTATTGTTTTATTGTTTTGACAGTTTCCCATTTGTTTTCGAAATAAATAACGCAAGCACTTGAAACTTCGTGGGAGATAATATAGAGCATTTGATAAATTGATAAACAATAAACGATTCCGGTCAAACTCAGACGCTGTATCTTTTCTGTTGGCTGAGTTATCGTTCATAACGTCTTGAGGTTCATTTTTGTAACAGTGACTGAAGTAGACTGGAGATGATTTAAGGCCAAAACTTAGACTGATTTCAATCCAAAATCCAATAACAAAAAAACACTTCAAAGATTGAGTGCAGTTATTAATTTCGGTATTAGTTAGTCCGTACCAGTGCTTACGTGCAGAATATAAACATAGCTACTGCCAATATCCGGAATTTGAAACATTTCACAATTCTCCTTAGTAGTTGCACGTGACTTTAGAGTAACGTGATGGTAGATTTAGCGTATCTATTTTAAGATCCCGCTGTTTGCATAGCCGGTGACTGATTGTTACTATGTCACCTACATTACGTGATATCCTGTGTTCCCCCTTATGCCAGACCAGAGTTAGTGTTCATAGATAAACTTGATTAGGTATTTCGTGTGACACTAGCTTTGAGCTGCGGTTTTGGCCGCGTGAGTTTAATCTATGGCTTCTTCCATACTCTCAACCGCAACGATTTCAAGATTGTTCGGGAAGGTCGAAACACGATCAGGTAACAAAGAAACATTTCGCAGTTACATTTTTAAGGATTGTCCATAAGTATGAGTTAGTTAAACAGTACTTTTGGCTGGTCAGTAGCTTTGTCCAACTTCTAATTTGTTTTTCATTTGAACCTAAACGATTAGGTACTATTTCTAAAAACGGAAAAGTACGTGTGTTTTAAAATTGGCCAATAGTTTATTATTGGTAGATTCAACTGAAAATACTTATACAGTTACAAATTCATTCCTTGCTACGTCAACCTGAGTACTCATTGAATGCAAATTATCTACACTATCAGTAATAGCGCAGTTCCATATTAATTTGCTTAATTTATAGTCGACTTGTTGTATATTTGCTAATACTAGTGTAGTATTTTTTAATATTTTACTGATTTTTCTTCATTTCCATCATACAGATTACTTAAAAAATATATTATCTCGCAATTACGGATGCCTTAAATCTACTCATTCATATCGGATTATTCAATAATATTATTTTATTATGTCATTCAAAACTTGATATTATATTTCACAAAGTAATCTGAACCCATTATGTAAGCACACGGAAGATGGAAAGATAAAATTACAAAAAGGCATTGTATTACTTTGACAAAATCTGCATTGATATTACCTTTTTATATTTTAGAACTATGATACAATATAAGAAAGAAAAACTAAGTTTCTCAGAGCGTTATTAAATCGTATGACTTAATCCGCAACTGGCGCCACCTAGTCAACGCAAAAACTGTTTCCCACACTGCACCATCGTGCTTCTACTATCGCAGCCTACTAGATTATCTGTCAATAATCACCCATTTAGACGAGCAATAATTGTAATTAAATAATTAAATTGATCTCTATCAACAAGCTAGGTAAATATATCGTACAATTTGACATCAATACACCTGCCTCATTGCTTAAGTATTGTGCTTTATCGATGATAAAGCAACGACTAGTGTTTACTTATCCGCAATACGTGTGGCGATAAGGTTTAAAGTTCCACGTTTCGAAAATGTGACACAGCCACTGTCTCCAATTGGGTGTAGTGCAAGTTGTATGACTATGAATTATATACATGATAGCGCGTTAATTAATTACGATTAAATAATTTGAGATATTTTAATTTAAGTTTTGAAATTTACCCACAACTATTTTTAAATAATATTTGTTTATTATTAATTTAGTTAAAACGTTGTAATTAAAATTAAAATAACATTAAAGATTGTAACATTAAAATAACAACACGTACAACTTGCATCAATGTAATATTTGCACTTGTTTACAACCTTACGTCACTTACCTTACGTAGGTAGGTAAGGTGGGGAGAGTGGGGACTGTTTATAAAGCAAGCAAGTTGTACGAGTGGGGGCATTCTCGTATCGAACACGAACGTGTAAAGATCAAATAAAATATTTATAAAAAAATGAGTCATCGTTTTAATGAAGTCTTGCGAAGTACGCAAACCACCTCACTTGTGAGAAGACCTCATTTGGAGTCACCACCTCCATTTGATGGTTCAGCTCTTACATCAGAAGCGAGGGTTGACGGACCTACAACTCGCCCTTGTCACGAAGACCTGGACAATCCTGGACAACACTCGCCAATCCTGTGAGCATCTTCAAGAAGAACGGACAACGATGAGGTGTCGCTTCTCCGAAAACAAGTGGAACTACTGGAAAAAATGATCAAAGAACACATCACAGTCTTATAAGTTGCGGATATTGCAAGAGACCGGGACATTCCTCAAACTGCTGTTGGTATAAAAACGTGCCTGCAGCCACAACCATCACAGCCGCAACCAGTGAAGCACCACCCTCGTCTCAACGTTGCGTTAACTGCATCCAGAGTTCATCACCTAGCCAACAACAACTAGAAATAGGTGATATAATTCTTAATTGTTTAAATGACACAGGTGCCGAATGTTCCCTCGTCAAAAGTACAATTGCTGGTTCAATTAAAGGAAAACGCAGTATTGAAATCGTAAAATTGCGCGGCTTTTCTGATAACTCAATGATCTCAAATGAAGTCATTGAAACAACAGCAAATCTTGACGATGTAACATTCGAAATAAAATTGCATGTCGTAGAGGACCTAACAAATGACGTCATTCTTGGAATCGATTTGTTAGGCGTACCAGGACTAAAAGTTTCCGTTTATAGTCAAGGTGTCTCTTTAGAACGAGAAAAAGAAAAAATTTTTACTTGTGAAATCTCTTCAAGTCCTTTCACTTCTTTTGACACTGATTTGGACGACGTGCAACCCCTCAAAAATGTCCTCAAGAAATTTACAGAATCCTTTTCGCTTAATAAGACCAAACGAGTAACAACAGGTAACCTTGGTATCAGACTTAAAGATCCCAACCGCATTGTTCAAAGACGCCCGTATAGACTAGCACCGGTAGAAAGAGAAAAAGTTAACGACATTGTTGATGATTTAAAATCTAAAGGCATTGTTAGAGAAAGCAATATAGAACACCATCCCATTGCACAATGAACTTCTCGAGCTAATGGATAAATAGAAAGGACAATGAGAACGTTAAAAGATCATTTGGCAGTTATTGCTCAAAATCAATCTAGGGTCTGGATTACAAAATTAGAATTACAATGTACTATAAATAGTACAAAAAGTAAGGCAACTGGCTTTTCTCCACTAGAGCTCCTGATAGGTAAACTAGGGTCTGTCCCAGCTGTTGAACGGATGTGCGTTCTGTCTAATCCAATTGATAGAGACACTATCCGTGCATATGCTGTTATCAGAATGACCGAACAGTCATCAAAAAACAAATAATAATAATAATAATCTTTATTTCAGACGTAAGTCCATACACTTTTAGAAAAATTAAAGAAAAACTTGTAAAATAAGTAAATTGAGTTTGTTAGTATGGTTGTTAGTACTTCACACAATAATACAAAACATAAAGTGTTAGTAATTTGTTAGTAAACAAACTAAAAAGAAGTTAAAAAAAATAAACAAAAACAGTAAATTAATAGTTCGGAACAGGAGTCTATTTCTTATTTCTAAGCAAGTGTACACTGGCCCAGTACACAATAAACGGACTGTCTATTTTGTAAGCCAACGTTCTGAGGACAGCATTGGCGCTTGAACGTACCCTGCTCATCATTGATGCAGTTCTTTTTCGAATGATGCAGAAGAAATCATCGATGGAAGCATCCGCAAACATTGCGGAAGCACTGCAGCACCTGGGTTTCCTCAACACTGCCCTCAGTGCATCATTGTACTGCACACGCAGGGCATTATAAGCCCGCCTCGTAAATCTGATCCACAGACTGCACGTGTAAAATGACTGACAGAAGGCTCTGAAGAGTAATAGTTTTACATCTGTGGTACACCGTGCGAATCTGCGGGCCAACATATTGCAGCGGACTGCCAACGCCCTCCTTTCTCTCTCTAAGTCCTCATCATCCAGTAGCGTCTCCGTCAGCATGTGACCCAAATATTTCACCTTGGACACCCTCTCTAGTGCCGACCCTGCGATTTTAATTGGCGGCACATTCGAAGGCGCCTTGTTCCCTGCTTTAAATACCATGAGAACACTTTTGCTGGCATTATATTTGAGTCCATGCGACTGGGCGTATGATTCACATATGTAGAGAAGTTTCCTGAGCGCATTGACTGATGGGGACAGCAGGACCATGTCGTCCGCATAACTGATATTATTTATCATTGTGCCATCGACTGAACACCCGACCTTGGTTCCGCTCAGCCCGCCAATAAGCTGGTTCATAAAAACGTTAAACAAAGTCGGTGAGCTTAACCCCCCTTGCCTCACCCCGCATTTCAGTTTATAGTCCCGACTAAATGCGTCAACCCATCTGACAGCATTCTTCTGATTGCTATACCAATACCTGAGGAGCGATACTACCTCCCTCGGCACAGCAGTCTCCTCCAGTAGTTTATGCCAAAGAATATCGTAAGACACCAGGTCAAATGCCCTCGAGAGATCAAGAAAACACGCATATACTGGTGTTTTTCTGTCGGTATAATACCTTACCGTTTGTTTGAGACACATAACTGCCATGTCCGTTGACAAGTTGGGTCTGAAGCCAAACTGCAAGTCATGTATCTGAACGTGTTCGTTCAGCTGCGCGTTCACGAGACTGTCAAGGACCTTCGCCATGGTTGTGGCCAGTGATATTGGGCGGTAGTTTCGCTTGTCAGATGGATCCCCGGTCTTGTTCTTTATTATCGGAACTACCACTGTTCTCATCATATCATCCGGGATATAAGAATGGCCTATACAAAAATTAAACAACAGACTTAGGACTCTGGGCAAATGTACACCTGCATAACGCAAATGCTCTATACTAATACCATCATGACCTGGGGATTTTCCACTCTTCATATTTTTTATTACATTTCTCACGTCTACTGGTCTAAATCGACGGTACTTCTCACCAGGTCTGACGTCAGGCTTACTTACTCTACTAAACTCACAGGGCATTGGTTCCAACTCAAACAGATCTTTAAAACTATCTGCAATATTCCGATTCCCTACGACATTGTCGACGCTCACAGGCAAGCTCGGCTTAGAATTCATGTGCCCTGTATTTTTCCAAAAACTGCTAAAGTCTTTAGCTTTATGTTTTGCTGCCAGTATGTCCATTTTTATTTGCTCAGAATTATCCTGACACCATTTCAATTTTTTTTTAAACTGTCTTCGCGTTTCACACATATTTAAATAGTGTGGCCCGTCGCGCGGCTTCCCCTGCAGAACCCAGTTACAGAAACCAAGCCGAGCCCTCCTATGAGATTCACCGACATGCTTGTTCCACCCTACAATACACATCTTCTTTTTCTCTTACTGTCCGTTCTAGTCCTTTCCGAGGCATCACTCAAGATAGACTTAATACTATCATACATTACATTGATTATGTGTCTATGTTCTACTTTGTCACATATATGATCACAGCAATCCCGTAATTCCACTGGAAAGTCTATATTTCGCAATGCCCCGTTACATAATTCCCTATATTTACAGATTTGTTCATCGTTCCGTAACCCCCATAGTATTTTATCTACCCCTCTATTTACAGTACTTTTTCTTGGTAAACTGTTAAAATTACATGTAATTTCAATTGGAAAATGGTCCGACCATGACACCTCATACAATACCTTAATGCTATCAATTGTTTGAAATGCCATTGCTGTAACCAGTATGTGATCCAACCATCTTACAGTTCCGTGAGCCTCACTTAAGTATGTATAGGTATTCTGACAACCTGGTAACAAATCTACATCAGCGCATGTCCAACTTTGTTCCTCACAGAAATTTAACATTTCATTAAAAAACAATTCCCCTGGATGTGCGTTGAAGTCCCCCATAATAAAAACTAAATCTACATTATAATCGTCAATTACCGCATTCATTTCTGATAGACATGCAGTAAATTCACACAAATTGTCCTGACCGTCTGTTGGCATATATATTGAGAACACTAGCATAGACCGACACTGACCCACACATTTGATCGCCGAAATACGCACACTGTTACATTAATAATCTCAACGGCACTAAACGCACTCTTTCTCCATAGAAGGGCCACTCCACCATAGGGTCTCCCCCGCAGTACTCCTTCCGCAGTGTCTACCGCTGAGACACCCGTCGCCGCAAAATCACAATGGATGTCGTTAAGATAGAACAAATCGTGAGGCAGCAGCCACGTCTCCTGCAGTGCAACTATATCCGCTGTGTCACACAATTTTTTTACACAGTCTACTGATCTCTTTATCGATCTACAATTAAAACTTAATAGTTTAACTGGTCTATTTTGCACAACCATCTTGACGTTTTCCTACCTCCTTTCCAGTGACTAAATACTCTTGTCGAGCCTTAAATATTATGTATCTCCTGAAAAATATTCCATCTGGCCAGAAATCGTCTTTTTCAAATAAGTCTAGGCTGCTTCTAGGAATATAGATCTTGTAGGAATTATATTCCTTCGAGTATTTCATGTTTACTCTTTCAGGTGCTACTACAATGTTAGTTTTCTCCATGATATATTCTTCAATGTCCTTTTCCGTAGTGTACTTTGAAACATTATATAAAAACAAGGGAATCTTTACTTCCGCGGCTCTAAATTTCGACGACGAATTTACTGGAGCACGTCCTTGTTTCCCCTTAAATCTCCTCGAACGTCGCTTTTTCACCTCAGTCCATTCCCCTTCATTACCTTCCTTTGCCATTCTTTGCGCGTCTATTCTTATTTCCTTTATAATACGATCCTGCACACCCACATCGAGCGCGGCGCTACCTGTAGAATGCTGCTTGTACCCCTGCACGCGCGCCTGCCGCTTAAACATCGACGGCGCGGGGCGCGCGGGCGCCTCACCGGACGGCGACACAGCTGATTCCGCATTGTTCGAAACCGCAGTTGTTACGCCGGTGGCCTCAACTCGCATAGCCAGTGAGTCCGACAACGCACGTCGCCGCGAAGTAGATGCACATCTCGCTCTGCTCGCATACGATGGGGACAGCACAGCCGACGACTCTCTGGACAAATCATTTACCTGTGACTGAGCTATTGGTGATTCAACCTCATTCACTGACCTCTGAGTGCAATGCATAAAACCCATCGGTCCACTGTTGCAAGTAAAACTATCTTGCAGACAATAACCACCCCTCCGCGTATTGATATTAGGTTCAATATTGTTCGTCTTTTTATTTTCCGACTTCATATTCTCGATTTCAAGCTTGAGTAGTTTTAATTCATCTACCGTCGCATATTGAACATTATTAAAACACTTCTCCTGTACATCGCGCAGTTCTTTCTGGATAATAACAATGTCCTTTAGTAGTCTCGTCACATCAATGTGGTCGAAAGTCACTGGCGGTAATTTCTGAAGATCTCGGGCCACAAAGACAGGTATTTTCTCCGGATCGGTTTCCTTCAAAAGGGTTATAATATCATATAAGTTCTTGTTTGTTTTGCGCTCACCCTTTCTCTGCACACCACGCTGCGCAACCGATTCAAAAAGCAGTGTTTTTGCTTCTTTACTATCTTCTTCCGAAAAAGCAGATGCACACACAGACACTAGACTTTCTTCGTCCATTACATCAATTTTATTTTGAATGAATGAAAGCACTTCATTGACAACTATGTTACAGTAATTGCATTTTAACACTTTAGAGGTCATTTTCAATATAGGTCAATGCCCTCCACGCGCACGAATACGAACGTTTCGATTCCAAGTGTGCTAAACTAAAACTATTGCAACCAGGAGACTTTGTAGTTTATAAAGACGCACAACGGTCTAGTAACAAATTAGATCCAAAATATTTAGGGCCTTATCAAATTGTTAAAACTTTAGATAATGACCGATACGAACTACGCAGTCTCAGTCCTGGTCAAAAAAAAAACCGTAATATCTCACGAATTACATATTCGTGGCTTGTACCACAGCAATATGCTGAATGAACCGTGATAGCGAATGTATAAAGTTGATCAACATCGGGCCTCTGAGTCTACTAGAACAAGCTCAACATCGGGCCTCTGAGTCTACTAGAACAAGCTCAACATCGGGCCTCTGAGTCTACTAGAACAAGCTCAACATCGGGCCTCTGAGTCTACTAGAACAAGCTCAACATCGGGCCTCTGAGTCTACTAAAACAAGCTCAACATCGGGCCTCTGAGTCTACTAGAACAAGCTCAACATCGGGCCTCTGAGTCTACTAGAACAAGCTCAACATCGGGCCTCTAACTCTACTAGAACAAGCTCAACATCGGGCCTCTGAGTCTACTAGAACAAGCTCAACATCGGGCCTCTAAGTCTACTAGAACAAGCTCAACATCGGGCCTCTGAGTCTACTAGAACAAGCTCAACATCGGGCCTCTGAGTCTACTAGAACAAGCTCAACATCGGGCCTCTGAGTCTACTAGAACAAGCTCAACATCGGGCCTCTGAGTCTACTAGAACAAGCTCAACATCGGGCCTCTGAGTCTACTAGAACAAGCTCAACATCGGGCCTCTGAGTCTACTAGAACAAGCTCAACATTGGGCCTCTGAGTATCCTTGGATGTAGCCTTTGAGACTATTAGAACAAGCTTAACCTAACAAAATAAAAAAAAAAAGCTCTGAATACTTTCATTTTATTTTTTATTTTTTACAGAACAATAACTTCGCAGACTCGAGCACGAGCTGCTCGTCAGAATGGCCGTGATAGCGCGTTAATTAATTACGATTAAATAATTTGAGATATTTTAATTTAAGTTTTGAAATTTACCCACAACTATTTTTAAATAATATTTGTTTATTATTAATTTAGTTAAAACGTTGTAATTAAAATTAAAATAACATTAAAGATTGTAACATTAAAATAACAACACGTACAACTTGCATCAATGTAATATTTGCACTTGTTTACAACCTTACGTCACTTACCTTACGTAGGTAGGTAAGGTGGGGAGAGTGGGGACTGTTTATAAAGCAAGCAAGTTGTACGAGTGGGGGCATTCTCGTATCGAACACGAACGTGTAAAGATCAAATAAAATATTTATAAAAAAATGAGTCATCGTTTTAATGAAGTCTTGCGAAGTACGCAAACCACCTCACTTGTGAGAAGACCTCATTTGGAGTCACCACCTCCATTTGATGGTTCAGCTCTTACATACATACTTGTTATTTTCAACTGTATTGTTTTGATATAACGTCGAAATTCAATGAAGACATACAGATTTGAGCATATTGACCTACAGACGTCAGTACATTATTGTTATCAACAAGTTTTTTACTGATTACTGTTTTATGAGCCTTGCGTTTGGATACAAATCCAGAATCTATTTTACAACTGGTGGTCTTAGGGTGTTGACTAGACCAAAATTTAGGGTATATGTTTATTGCTTGATTAAAAATCTTTTTTAAGATTGTAAGGTAATTTTTTTTCCAAAAATGTCAAGCTTATGTAAAGATGAAAGTTCAAAAAGGTTCAAAATGTTATCTTACAGATATTGAAATATTCTGAACTTGTTATGTTAGAGATTTATTTATCTTATTCGTTTAATTATTATTAGAATCATTAGACGTTATTATTTCCCGATTGTTCTCCTAATGAGATCAAGTTCAAGAGTTTATTACGGAAAATCGAACTAAAGACTGCAATTGGTATTTCCCCAATAAAAATGCTATAATTATATATGGCTTACACACCGAGTTCCTATGATTATTCTACTGCTAGACACTGCACAGGAAGAAAGGCCAGCGCTGCAGTTTGAATAAAAAGGTGACACTATTTAGATTTTTTCACATTAACGATGCGTATGCGAATCATAAGAAGCTAAATCGTGTTTACTTCATTTTGATTTCATCACAATGACATGACAAAACTAAAGTGCACAATCATTACATGTTTTAATTGTTATATCGTACAGAATATTATTTTTCTTAGGGCCGATAGAGGAGGAAAGAGCAAATTATTGTCCCTGGTCTAAGTGTCATGTGTATGTGAATTTGTATGTTTGTAAACTCACACACGACACAGCAGAAAATCGTAGTGTGGGGCAAAGTTAAAAAAAAAATATCTGTGAACGCCCTCTGAAGGGTACCGCCAAGTAAGTCAAGTCTTAGAGAACCAAGTGCAGTTCATTTTATGTTTTCTAAGTAATTAACGCTATTGCCAAAAATAAGATATGAGTCCAGTCCAGACAGTACCACTTGATACTAAAAATTTCGAAAAGCCTATAAATCTTTCGTGTATAATAAAAATTTACAAATCGGAACTGTTTTGATTTACTTCGGTGGCGATATTTCGCAAATTCTACCGTGTCCGGTTTCTCAATATGGTTGCCTGTAATCGACATTGAATAATATCGAATTTGATGAAAATTTAAATTCTACGTCAGTTTAGCGATCAGTCAGGAGGTCAATGGCGATACGTAACTGATTTCAACAGTTAAATTAAGTAAGCGATAATAATTGAGATGAGGTACAGTTTGTTACGTAAATTATATCAGTTCTTGGTCTTCTAACAGTTGAAAAAAGTAATAAACGGGAATTGTTTGTTAATAAATTTTAACATTTTATTAAAACCGACTTTAACCTCCTATTTTATGGTGGGCTGTAATAAAGTCGGTAAATTACTTTTCAGATTATGTAATTTTTGCACTGATGTTATGTTTTGATTGTTATAAAACCTGCTCCGAAGTGTTCCCAACACTTTTCCAAAACTACATTAAAATCGGTTCGGCTAATCGTCAGATAATCGTTGACAAACACACATACATTTCCTGAGAACCTCGTTATTTTTTTGAAGTCGGTTCTTAAATACAATAGGTTTGTTTGAGTGTAGGGAAATCCATTTAATAAACATTACAAATAATGCATAGACGGTAATAAAAGCAATGTATTTAATGTAACATTACAATTAATGCAACTATGTCATACTCATAAATAAGGCGTTCTGCCCGTGGCCTCATTTGCGTATACCAAAGTTTTAAAATATGTAAAATACCTATGAATAAATAAAAGTACCTAACTACTTGACTATAATTAGATCCTTCAGAGAAAATTCGAAACATATATTTCTAAAAGTAAGTTATTATTATTCTATAGAAGCAAGATAAGGTGAGGAAACAGTAAATAAGAACCCATTTCTTTCTTTTTTTTAAATTAACGTACCAATACCAACGGTATGTTTTGTGGAGCACCGTATCTTAACATTTTTCAATTTTATTTTACTAAAATTGATAATTTAAATGTTTTTGAAACATACAACCTTTTTAAACATAGTAAGTACTCGATACATTTAGTATAATTTAAATTAAGGTCAAAATGACTTTCTCCTTGGTTTCTGATAAATAATATTCACTACAAGACTCATTTATAAATTTTACTCAAGTTTCATTAAATATTTATAAAGGTTATATATTGCTCAATGTAACTGATTTATGTAATTTTTCTGCATTATTAAACATTCAAGGACCATTCTTACGTGAACATAATGGTAGTATCCACAAATTATAGTAACTTTTGATAAAAAATCAAACCACAGACTTAACTAATTTTGAAACTAAGTAGGTACCTAAGTGATATCCTACTAATATTATAAACTAGCGACCCGCCCCGGCTTTGCACGGGTGCAATATTATACTTCCTTAAAAATCACTCTATCTATTAAAAAAAACCGCATCAAAATCCGTCGCTTAGTTTTAAAGATCTAAGCATACGTAGGGACAGACAGACGACGGATAGTGACTTTGTTTTATACTATATAGTGATGCCAAAGTTTGTACGTATGTATGTTTGTTTGTCACTTCTTCACGTCAAAACAGCTGAAGGGATGGGGGTGAAATTTGGAATACAGATTGATTATGGTCTAAAGTAACACATAAGCTACTTTTTATCCCACGGCTACGCGGGCGAAATCGCTGGTCTGAGAAGCTAGTCTTACATAACTCCCGAGCGTGCAGCGCGCCTTTAAGAGCCATCAGACCACCACAGATGGGGCCTAATAGGACTGATGCCGATATGGAGCCATGGAGAACTTAACGGGTTACCCGGGCTCCGGCTCGAAGTGCTTTAGAAGGAACGGGGTGGTTTCTAGTCAGTAAGAGTCTGACACTCGCTCCAACCTCGTCTAGGCGGAAGAAGTCATTCATTGATTTACCCTCTTTAAAAAAAAGTCTTACATAACTGACAATATTTGGAACATCAACTACAATATTTATACCTAAGCATTAATAAAGACCCGAACAAATTAATAATCAATATAAGTAACAGTTTAATAACAGTTACTATAAAGCATTGTCAAAAACTGTTAGCTTAAAACACAAAACTTACAAAGCTAATTACTTGAACATTGTACCTACACAAGCAATGTAAATAATATCCTGAATAATTTATTATTGAGTAACTATTGTATTATTGTTTCTAATACTACGTCCATTAACTATTTCCTTTGCAATTATTTGCGTGTAAAGGCCACTTTAATTTTATAAAGGGTGGATATGAAACTTCGTTCTTAATGGCTTGTGTATCGTGGTTGCTCGCTATTGGCCGATAGTCTGCTGTAATTGAAGAACGCATCAATTCGTTCAATGTTCAGTATTTAATTATACCGACAGTAATTATTTTGATTAAGTGCTTTAATGATATTAGCTTAAATATTATGTTGCGCAGCTCAATATACTCCATAAAGGTGTAACTTACTGCAGTATTTTATCGAAAGCGAAGACGGGACCAGCGTTAAAAATCTCTTTAGGTCGATCGGAAAGTTTTCTCTTTTTCTACAACTTACTCAAAAATCCAGGCTCTAAGTTTGATAGAACTTAACACAAGTGTGGGACAGCCATGCTTCGGCACGAATGGGCCGGCTCAACCGAAGTGATACCACGGCCTCACAGAAAACCGATGTGAATCAACGCTTGTGTTGTGTTTCGCCGTGTAAGTGAGGTTACTGGAGGCCCAAACACTCCCCTCCCT